ACATGTTTATTATCAGCGTATAGATACTCAGTATTATTATACAGAGAGACATGTTTATTATCAGCGTATAGATACTCAGTATTATTATACAGAGCAACATGTTTATTATCAGGGTATAGATACTCAGTATTATTATACAGATTGACATGTTTATTATCAGGGTATAGATACTCAGTGTGACGAGACCAATCTCGCCACATTGCATTGGAGAAGCCTGGTTGCTCGCCTGCTGCCTTTGGACTATGGCCCCCTTTTAAAAGACTTTATTTTTGCATGCAGAAAAGCTGTATTCGTGCTTTTCTGCCGGTTGTTCGGTAGTTTCAATCTACCGAACAACCGTACGAATGACTGGACCACCTGGGAGCTGGAGTGTGCCGGCAATTAACCTCCCTGAAGCTGCGGTTAACCGCAGCTTAATTGATGAATGCTGGGTGGCCGCCATTCGTATCCCGAACACGAGGTCGAGGCCATTTAAACCATACGAATGCACAGCGGTGTTCGCCTCTATTTCCATGGAACTAAAATCGGACACAGTTTTGCGCGAACACCGCTGAAGCCGCCGACCTCCCTTCTTGTTCGGTGAAAGTGCACGAACGGCCCGGTGTTCGGTATTTTTGTTTGAATGTCTTATACCCCAGATAGGAATCCCATGGAGCCCATTCGTATGAAACTGACTGTGTAAAGACTTTGGCTCCATGGCGATTAAACTGTATTCGTGTGGTCTGAGTGCCATTCACCTAATAATGTGCACTCAGACCTGAGCTATCTGGGGATATGTTACATGTCTGTGTTTTATGTAGTAAATGTTACTTTGTGTATTTTAAAGTATAATGCTGGTCCCCACGTGTGTAATGGAGTTTTGCCTTTGTCTTGGGAGATAATTGAGTTACTTCCCAATTATCTCCCAAGGCAGAGGGGAGGAAGCCAGGATGCATTGTGGGAAATATTGTGACTGTGTGTCCTATTTGTCCACTTGTCTGTCCCTTGTCACAGTCTCCCATTTGGTCCCCTAGGGGAGTGTCCACCAGGTGGGAGACCTGCATAAATACTGGGCAGGTAGCCCTCATTAAACAGACCACTGCTTGACCCTCAACACGGAGCCTTGTCTCGTCTTTGGGGGGATTTACTGTATGCTGCTAAGGACTGATTGCCAGGAGTGTAAGCCGCTTGGAAGCTTTTCCTGTTCGCCTGCTAGCAGCTATTCGTATGGTTCCTGTTCGTTTATTTGAAGTGCTACCTTATTCCCTTGTATGCCGTTCGGGAGTTTGGAGCATTCACTTATTGGCGGTTCGTGAGTTTTGGTGATTCTACAGTAGCTGTGCCTGTCTCTAAAAGGGGATTATCATCTAAGCGTTTTTTTCCCCTTTTGTGCAAAACGGTAGGTTACAATTGGTGGCAAGCGGCGGGATCGTTCCCACAGACTACAGGACAGCTACAGGCTACACCATTCCGTGGATTTACAATTTGAGGGCAACGCATGTCTGAGTACAGCGACCCTGACAGCAACAGCATGGAACCAGCAGTGTCATACGAGGAGGAGGACCTGGATGGCCGGGATGCATTAAGGAAAGGCATCTGGTACCAGGCCCTGGATAATGTACAGTACCAGCGGGGTGAGAGTCTCCCCAGTGAAGAGCAGCGGTTGCAGAAGCAAGTGGCCCTGCGGATGCCCTTCCTGGGAGAGCAGCCCCTAGATGAATGGGTGAAGGAATTGGAGCACCGGGTATGGCAGGAGATTTGGCTGGAAGATGCATACCAGGCGCTCTGGTGGTATGGGGCACAGTACCTGCCCTGGGCAGCCGAGCATGACAAGCCAGAGGGAGAGGAGTTTGATGGTCCTGGCTTGTTATGGGAGGCTTTTTCAGAGCCTGAATTTGGGAGCCCTACACAAGCCCGGTTCAGTGATCTCTTGGAGTGGAGGGAGAGCAGGTATGACTGGGACGACACTCACGACATTGAGCAAGACCTGGCTCACCTAGCAACCCTGGAGTGGGAACTGGAGCAGGACTACCGAGATCTCTTCCACTCCATTGAGAAGATTCAGCAGGACAGCAAGGTGACAGAGCCAGAGCCAGACCCATTCAGAGGGGACGAGATGGTACAGTTTTACTGGGAAGAACCCCAGGTGGCCGGTACATATGGGACCGAGGTCTCTCCACCAGTCCTGCAGGGAATTGGGAGCCCAGTCTCCATTCCCCAGCGGCCGTGTGATTTATTGGGAATTGGGAGCCCAGTCTCCATTCCCCAGCGGCAGTGTAAAGTGCAGGGAGAGGAGAGCAGCGTCCTCCCTCCCCAGCGGCAGGCTGAGTTACAGGGGGCAGAGGTAGTTGTTCCTGCCCCCCAGCAGCAGAGTGATATGCCGGGAAGGCAGTGTAAAGTGCAGGGAGAGGAGAGCAGCGTCCTCCCTCCCCAGCGGCAGGCTGAGTTACAGGGGGCAGAGGTAGTTGTTCCTGCCCCCCAGCAGCCAAGTGATATGCCGGGAAGGCAGTGTGAAGTCCAGGGAGAGGAGAGCAGTGTCCTCCCTCCCCAGCGGCAGCGTGATTTTTTGGGAATTGGGAGCCCAGTCTCCATTCCCCAGCGGCAGTATGATGTTTTGGGAATTGGGAGCCCAGTCTCCATTCCCCAGCGGCAGCACAGATTATTGGGAATTGGGAGCCCCGTCTCCATTCCCCAGCGGCAGAGTGTCCTACAGGGAATAGAGAGCTCAGTCTCCTTTCCCCAGCAGCAGGACTCTGTATTGGGAGCAGAGACAGTCGGTCTCCCTTTCCCGCAGCTGGAAGTATGTATGAGAGAGGAGCATGTTACCCCCTCTCCCCAGCGGCAGCTTAATGTACCAGGGGGAGACAGTATTTTATTTTATTTAGTTTGTAAAATGCTTCCAAAATTAAACAGAATAACAAAATAAATAACAAAATAACAATAATAAACAATCAACTGAAATAATGCCCAATTCAAACATAATACCAAATAAAACATAAATACCCCAAAATTAAACATAAATACCGAAATAAAAACTCAGAAAGGGGCACTAATAGGGGAGTAAACTTATACCAAATTAAATAACTAGGAATAACAGGGAGAGGGATTAACAGAAAAGGGGGGGGGGGGAACTAAATCATAAGGGGATAAATTAAAAGGCATATGAAGCCTTGGGGAGGGAGAAAAAAGGCTTAAATGCTCCTGAAGGAGCTCTTACATAACAAGGGGGGACAAGGGGGGACCCAATTGACCTCGAGTCCACAGCCAGCTAAACACAAACATAAACCAAGCGTGGAATAAAATACACACATAAACATAAACAAACCCATTACCCACATGGAGTCCTTTTCTCAGTTCATAAAACCCACCAACCACATGGAGTCCATCAACACCAACCCACCACCTACACTTTAAACCCAAACTTTAAACCCAAACCCACCACCCAAATGGAGTCCATTTTCAATTCATAAAACCCACCACTCTCATGGAGTCTATCCCTCCGTCCATCCCCCAAACCCACCACCCAAATGGAGTCCTTTTCTCAGTTCATCACATCCAAACCCGCCACCCACATGAAATCAAAATTTTGTCCATAGACCCACCACCCACATGAAATCCAGTTTGTACACCACCCTCAAGGAGTCCATCCCTCCGTCCATAAAGAAACCCAGTGTTTTTTTTTTTTTTTTCCACCCAAAGTAAATTTTTCAATTTGTCCATACACCAGAAACCCACCCTAACCCAAACAATACCAAAAATAACCTGTGCATAACCATAACCATAACCTAACTACACTGCACTACCTAGACGCAGAGGAAGGTACTCGTCTGCTAAAGGTGGCAGCCTTCCATGAAAAGAAAAACCAGTTCAAAATCTACGGGGGAAAGGTGAAGACAGATTTGGAATTCCCTTCACCAAGACAAGGGCGCCCATGGAGCGGTTCAAGGCGGGTGGACCTTGAGATTTCGCCACAAACGCTGCCAAATGGTGGGATCCATAGAGGCCCTTTTGGTGGTATAGATCCCACGAACCGCCCTCAGAATGTCTGCTACCACCACCTGACAGGAAAGGTCTTTACGTTGAAGGGAAACCTGACACCTTGCCATCCAAGTGAAATACTTAACCACTGAACTGACTACATAAAGAGTGCCCAAATCAAAAGCCCTCCCCCTTGAGTTGGACGTCCCGTACGCCCACTCCGCATAAGTCCAGCGGGATAAGCAGGGGAAGCCTAAGGCGGCTGAGACCTCTTTGTAGACCTGTACGTTAAAGGGGCATTCGAGGAGGAAGTGGTCCATGGACTCCACTTCCCCGGAACATTCCACCCGAGGACAACCGCGATCCGTTATGTTCCTGTACTTCAAGTTCCCTCGAACGTAAAGTCTACCGTGGAAGGAGAGAAACGCCACGTCTCGGTATTTCTCCGGAAGGCGCCTGGAGTTGATGTTTTTCAACCCCGAGGCGAGAGTACTTGGCGGGCAGTCCTTCAAAGCAAGCTGAATGCCAAAGTGGGTGGCCAGGACCCTCCCGTCGAGAAGCTTCTTGGAAGTGTCCCGAACCTCCTCCACCGTGACGTTCCACCTGCGCAGAATTCCCACTCCCTCGATGACCGAAGACGGAAGATAGCTAGAATGCCGAACTCTCATGCTCTTCACCCTCCCACCCTGAAACCAGTCCACCAGGAAAGGTGTGACCCACTCCCTGAATATACATACCCAGCCAGGCTGCTCATCCTTCAGGAGAGCCCCAAAGTTCCTTTTCAGGAAGTTGTTAGTTAAAAAGACGATGGGGTTGACCATGGCCAGACCCCCGTCCTTTCTGGCCAGGTAAGTGACCTCTCTTTTGATGAGGTTCAGCCTGTTCCCCCACAACATGCGGAAGAACAGCGCAAACATCCGAGCGTGGAGGGACCTGGGCAAAAGGAAGATGTTACTGACGTAGCCGAATACGGTCAGAACATAGGTTTTGATTAGGTTCACCCGTTCTCTGAACATCAGTTTCCACCTGTGGCTCTCCTCCACCTTGCTAGAAGCTATGGCAAGCCGTTCGGTCCAGTTCCTGAGAGCCAGATCCCCTGGTCCGAACACCACCCCCAAGATCTTAATTTCAGGCTGGGCCCTCGGGAAACCGTCTGGAAGAGGGAACTGGTCCCCTTCCTTCCCGCACCAGAAAACTACGCTCTTGTCCCTGTTGACACGAGAGGCTGAAGCGGCAGAATACGCTAGGATTAAATCATCCACCTCCGTGGCCTCCCGAGTATTGGAGACCACTATGGAGATGTCATCAGCGTAGGTAACAACCCGTAAAGGCCTCTCCGGAGCCCTGGCCACTCCCTGTAATGTGCCTGCCTCGACCCTTCGGATGAAGGGATCGACTGCAAACACGTACAAGAGTGGGCTGAGAGGACAGCCTTGCCTGACCCCGGATCGGATCCTAAACGTCCTGCCCCTCCACCCGTTCACAAGAGCAAAGCTTTCGGCCCCTCTGTACAAGGTGATTATCCAATTGACGAATTTTCCCGGCAAGCCATACTTCCGCAAGACTGACCACAGATAACGGTGATCTACTCGATCAAAAGCTTTGGACTGATCAAGTGCCAGAAGGTATATCCCCCTTTCTCCGTCCCTGCACTTCTTGAGGGCTTCCCTGACTTCGAAAACGGCATCAAAGACAGTTCTGCCCTCGGTGAACAGTACTGGGAGGTGGATAGGACACGCCTCGCTAGGCCCTGTACTCGTTTCATCAAAATCTTTGCCAGGACCTTCCTGTAGACATTTAACAGGGATATGGGGCGCCAGTTCCCCACATCCGCTGTGTCGAGCACGTTCGGCTTGGACAGCAAGATCAGGGCAGAAGTCCTCATCGAGGGTGGCCAAGCTCTCATTAAACACCTCGGTCAGATGAGGGGCCAAGAGGTCGCAGAACTGTTGGTAAAACTCGGCCGTCAGACCATCAGGACCTGGCGACTTACACTTGTTCTGCTGTTGGATACTCTCTGTGACCTCTTCTATGGTGATCTCGCTGACCAACTCGTCAAAAGAGAGGTCGCTATGCTCAGGGAGCGTGAGCTCGCTCAAGAAGTCATCCACCCTTCTCCCGTGGGAGGTTCCCTCCTCGCTACATTGGGGGCTGCCCTTTCCGAGGAGCTCAATATAGTAGTCGCGGACCACCTTCAGAATCCCGCGAGGAGACTCCTCTAGGGTCCCGTTTGGGGAAGACGCACAGGACTCAAGTCCTTGTGGCAGTCGAGCACTGTAGACATTCCTCTTTCTTCTTTTCTATATACCTGTCTCTCACACGTGGCTCACTCTGCTTGATCAAGATGGGGCAGGAACATGCCAGACCCACTAAGGGATTGTTGGCTTGTGATATTGTAAAAGAAAGGGCAGGGGAGGATGCAATGTTGAAAATTAAAAAGATTGTCAAAGTATGTGGTTTCCAAATGTCCCCTAGTGGGAGGTTGCAACCTGAGTTCTGAGGGAAATTGATCATAGATAAGGAGGGGTTGTTGTTGGATAATGGGCTCACAAAGGCCGTAGAAGCATGGTACCGAGTAGCTAGGGGTCTCAAACGGGAAGGGTGGATAGAGGATGAATAAGACTTTGAGGGACAAATTTTTCATGTGTATCATTGGAATGTTTGTAATGACGATGCATCCCCCACTGCCTCCCAGCCACTGCCCTATGATGGCGCCCACTTATTGCAGGTCCTGGATTCCTGAAGCCTCAAAACTCATGCAGCCACTCTATGATGCTATTGCTTGTTTCAATGCTCTGAAGAGGGCTATTGCATCAGCACCAGCCCTGGGCCTTCCAAACTACCAATTGCCTTTCAAGTTATTTGTCTCTGAAAAATCAGGCCACGCTTCCGGAGTCCTTACCCAAAAACATGGCTCCAGACAGCGGCCTATTGGATACTTCTCCTGCATGCTTGACCCCATTGCCAGGGGTAGCCCCTCCTGTCTCAGAGCTGTGTTTGCTGCCAGTGCCTTGCTGGATAAGACTAATGACTTTGTTCCTGGTCACCACCTCACCGTATTGGCCCCATGATATTTCTGCAATCCTTCAGCAAGTTCAGCCCAAACACCTCTCTTCTCAACGTCACCTCCGGTTGCAAACCTCTTTGCTGTTAACTGACAACGTTTCCCTTCAACGCTGCTATTCGCTGAATCCGGCCACTCTTCTGCCACTTCCCAAGGGCACAGTACT